TCCATTGGTTGTTTTGATTTTTTACTAACCTTTGCTTTTGTAACGGCGATATAGTGTGATGTCCTTACTGGGCTAGTGTAGCTCACCTTTTATTTAACATTTTCAGATCAGGAGGATCTGGTTCCCAAGTCTGATCCGCAAGAAGGGTACGAGTAGATGTTAGATACTTTATAATTTTTTTTATTTTTTTTTATTTTTCGTATTTCCTTCAAAGAATTTGTTCCATAATGTTTATTAGTATTTTTGAGTTATCGTGTATGGGATGTTTTAACTTTTATTTCGCTTTCGTGCTCAAATTATTATATGCATTTCTTTTTAAATTTTCGGAGTCAGTGTTAGTGAGTGTATGTGTGCCATGTCTTATGTAAAAATATGGATGTAATAGTCCTGGGCATATGTGTTTGATCTTGAGTATATATATATATGTATGTATGTCAAATCTGTGTGAGGGTATGCACATATTTATAGACACAAAAATTGTACATATTTTTATGTGTGTGTGTATATATAATTTGCACGTTATTATGTCTGTAAAATGTGTATTTGTGTGGGTGTGTGGGTATATATATTTATGGATAATATATATTAGGTAAGTGAATATATATAATTATATACATTATTAAGTGTGTAAATATTATATGTGTGTATAATATGCATGTGGGTGTGTATGAGTATGTGAAAGTATGATTGTTACCTTGTGTGTGAAGTTTAGGGGTTTGATATGGATGTAATTGTGTGTGTGAGTGAGACACATAAATGGAATCTATATATGCAAGTAGAAACCTTGGATAAGATGAATTTAGAAATATGCATGTGTGTTAAATAATAGAAAAGTGAGAAAGTTTAAAATAATAATAAGAAAATTCGAGAATGGTAAAAAAATATTAAAAATTTATGTGCCAAGTATTAGAGAGGAAAGGTGTGTGCGGGGTTAAAATTCAGCAAGATGTTCGGTGAACCTTATCCATGGATGATCGGTGCCCCCAATCGGATGGGGTTTGTGTGTTGTGTGATGTGAGTTACTTAGCAAATGTTACTATTGTGGACATTTTGATGTGAGTGTATTGTGTCCTGTCCATATGGTAGAGGGGTCCTTCGCGCCCTCAATGCTATCAGGAAACGATATCAAATAATGAAATAGTAAAAGTAAAAATGGAATTAAAATATAGAGTCAAATGTGAATAAATTTGTTTGTGAAAATGGTACATATATATATAAAGTATTACAGTGAATGTATGGATGTGTAGTCTGATGGGAAATCATATACGATTTTCGATGTGAATCTAATGTGCTGTAAGTGAAAGTGTAATTGTATCTCTGAGTGTAAAAAATGTGAATAGAGGAAGGAAAAGAAATTAGTAATATATGTGATTCAGTAAGATTATGTACAAAATTTTGTGAGTTAAAACACGCATGCGATATAAGATAATATGTGTCAATGTGGAATAAGATAAGAAAACAGTGTGGATAAGATTCAACATAGAGTAAATAAAGTCCAAGCAAGTTTTGTTATGAAATTTTCAGCATAGTTTTTTCTTTAAAATAAACTTCATCTGCTTTATCTACTTTGTGTGATTGTGTGTGTGCATGTTTCTGCACCATTCTTACTGAACATATGAAGCTTACTCCAATTTGTCTTCCCCCTTCAGTAAAAGATTAGGAGTAAGCTCAGGACCAGTAGAGAATGTGGAAAAAGCCTTCTAGCCTTGGCTTAAATTTATATTGTAACAAAGAAATGAGTTAAGATACTATTGCATTTAGTTCTTAGAGAATGATGCTTCATGTATTTCGGTTTTATATTAATTATTTTATTACAAAGGATGTGTAATAATTATGTAATATTGTTCCATGTGTTAACATTTTCATTGGTTCTTTCACTTTGAATGGTGTGTAAATATCCTTGTTTTCAAATGGGGCTAGAATGGTGTGTAAATATTCCTTGTCAAACGATAAAGAAATACATCAATAAGTTTCCCTTCATAACTATAGAATATCTTCACAAAACTTTTAAATCCCATTATCAGTAGAAATTTTATGTCATTGTTATCTAAGATTTCTACAAAATGAAAATTTTTCATAGTTTTAGAACATTCTAAAAGTCAAAAGACTTTTAAGAGTGCCATTAAACATCTACAATTAATCATCTACGAACAAAATTAAGCCACTAGTTGTTAGATAACTTCACGATTCTTTCCCACTTTGTGAACTTGGAGAACTATGCATGTTAGGCATTATGTACTAAGACACACCAAAATCAAATATCAACCTAGCATCCAAATTATTTACACTTACCAACATAACTATATTATTTTCATCATCAGAACTATAAGACATTATTATTTTATATTTGTTCAATTCTTATGAATATTCTTATCAATTTTCTCTAGATAAGTTTTTCTTATTTGCGCTTCTTATGACACGGCAAATATTTAGATATTTTTGGATTTTGATTAGGCTTTTTCTTGTTGATAACGCTTGACTCCCTTTTGGTATTCTTTGCCTTACTCATTGTTGATCTTGTTTAGTTCAACTTGTGTCTCAACCATCTTCTTTCTAGTTCTTTTGACTTTTAGAGAACACAACACAAAGATGATTTCATCCTTTTAACTCATTCGGATGTTGTACTTTCCATATCAATATTCGTCTAAATGAGTTTAATTTTAGGTTTATTATATTTTCCAAATCGATAATGGTTTTACTTAAGTGCATGAATTTAATAGATAAAAAAGAATAGTTAGTGCATTAACATTTTCCATCTTTCATATTCTCTCCTTCCCTTTTTATCATTAAGACATTTTTTTTTGTCTTTTTATGTAAATAATACAACACATATGTGAAACTTGTTAAAAAATCTAGGGGTTACAGAAATGAGATTGCTAAAGAAAATGAGAGATTCTTAAAGATTTATGTATTCGGATTAATATAATGGATCTCTAACCAATCACTTTATTTTTCTAATAACTTCAAATGTTTGCATGAAACTAATTTGCAAATT